CTCCATCTTTATTGCATGTTCGAGTACTAAATGAACGCCTGTATGACTATACAGCTTTACCGGCTTCCATGTTGGCTATGACCGTTGGTCATGTTCAAAAGATTTTGAAAAATAGTTTACCGAACAGGATTACATGTAACCTTATCTACGTGCACTGTGCGTTCGCGTCATTTCTTTGTATTTGCGGTAAAGTGACGTCACCGGATAAAGTCATGCTCAGATGATGGCTTTAGATTAAGAGTGACACTGTATTTTCGATCTGTCACTGATCAGCAGTCTAACGTTATATTTACACATAATTAGTGTAAAAGACCGGTACACTGTTTGATCGTGGGAAAATTCGCATCTCCCGAAATAACCTCTTTAAATAATTTGTGCGGATGATCCTAGATCATTTTTCTGTTACAAATTTATTACTGTTAGATTTTGAGACTAAATTTTCACCTTATCATAAATGTTGTCTTTAAGATAACCCAGCTATGAAATAAACAAAAAAGAAATTTTTTTGTAATTCTATATTTAAGGATGTTCTCTGGTTCTGTGGTTTTCAAAAAGGGCTCCGCACTACGAAAAAAGTATTTCATCATTTCAACTCTCTCGCATGTTGAAACCTACATACGAATTAAACCTAAAAAATTTGGGAATACTTCTTTAAGCGTCGAGTTAAATCAATAAGTATTTCTGATTGTTTATGAAAAATTATGATCTCGAAAGTTTTGAAATTAGTAATAAATAATAAACAAGTGATATAAGTGATTTAGTGGAATGACATCGCGCTAAGGCATCGATGTTTAAGCACATTGTTGTTAATAATTTTAGAAAAAGCACTGTTATCTATTTCTTTCAATGCATCAATCGCATCCGAATGAAATAATGTTTACTTAATCAAAATTTTATGATTTTGTAAAGAAGTTTTCTATGTTGTTTATCTAAATCGAGATCGAAAAATTATCTCGTTATGAAAAAATATATATGGAACGATATTTCGTCATTTTCTATTTTAAATAACTTAGAATGTTTCTTTAGAAAATCATAAAACTTTGATAAGATAAAGTATATTTAGTTCTAATATGACTTATGCATTTAATAAAAACTAAGTACTTTTACGAAAGTTATTATCAAAAGTGTGCCTGAACATCGATGGCTCGACGTGATATTATTCCACTAAATCAGTTATATCATTTTCACCATGTGAATTGTTTTTCTGAAATAACAAAGAAACAAAATTCAATGTTGTTATTCCCACTGTTGTTTCTTAATTAAATTATAGCTATTAAATTAGCTTACACTTGTCTTTCTGACGCCACCTGTGAGTGAATTGTTTTAGTCGTCTAATTAGTGGCCTGACTTACCGACTAGATTTTTATGATAGAGCGCTAAAATTCAATTATACTAAGCATACATTTTTTACATACATACGTATTACTAGGATATTAAGAAATAATGTAGTATTTAGAAAAATTTAATTTTCGTAAATTTTGTTAACAGACTTTGAACGATTCAAATTAAGAAAGAAAAATATTTAACATGTGATTTAAAATTTTAAATGGAGAAAAAATACAAATAAGTTGCAAAAGTAGCGATAAATTGAGTTACATTGAAAAAGTTACGCTGAATTTGAGGTTCATCATTTAATTATGAAACTTTTTATAGCATTGTAAAAAAACTAGGTTTGTTTAAAAAGTATCGCGAATTTTGTATGTCTTCAAAAATTATTTATTTATTCATGAATATTTATTTTATCTTCTTCAAAGTAATCCCCCTCGGATATAAGGCACTTGTACCAACGTTTTTTTCCAATTCTCGAAACACTTAAAAATATCATTTTTTGTAATTTTGTTCAGCTCCTTCTTCGATGCCATCTTTATCTCTTCAATCGTGGCGTAGCGTCGTCTTTTCATAGGCCTCTTCAGTTTTGGGTACAAGAAAAAGTCACTGGGGGCCAGGTATAGGCAATGCGGTGGTTGCAGCACCATTACTGTGTTGTTTTTGGCCAAATATTCGCGTACAAGCAACGATGTATGAGCACGGGCGTTATCATGGTGCAAAAGCCAGTTTTTGTTCTTCCACAAATCCGGATGTTTCTGGCGGATTGCTTCGCACAAATTGCGTATAACTTGCAGGTAATATTCCTTATTGACAGTACTACCCTGTGGTAAGAACTTATGATACACCACGCCCCTGTAATCGAAGAAAACTATGAACAAAACCTTCACGTTCGACCGAACTTGGTGCGCTTTTTTCGGTCTTGGCTCATACGGCAGCTTCCATTGGGATGATTAAACTTTAGTTTCCACATCATAACCATAAACCAATGATTCATCACCAGTTATGACCCTCTGGAGCACATTTGGGTCGTCACGGACCGAGTCTAATATCTCCTGAGCAATGTTAACGCGATGCTGTTTTTGGTCGAAATTGAGCAGTTTTGGTACGAATTTAGCGACGACCCGACTCATGCCCAAATCATTGGTTAAAATCGAATGACATAAGCTAATCGATATGTTTATATCCTGAGAAACTTCTCTAATGGTGATTAGACGATTGGCCAATACTATTTTCTTTTTGCTCGGGCGTCCGGCACGTTGTTCGTCTTTCACATCTTCTTGGCCCTCTGAGAACATTTTGTACCACAGATAAACGTTGCTTCGGTCCAAGGTAGCTTCATCATATGCCACAGTCAACATTCGTCCGCGTATATTTTGTTTTTTACACAAAATTTGATACAGGTTCTTTGATCCATTTATCAGAATAGGCAAAAATCGAAGACGAGTCAAAACACATCCAAGCAAAACAGCTGTCAAAAATTAACTAAACATTCAAAATGGCCGACCTTGTCATCATAAGTAAGGGACATGAGTACCAACATAATACTACAAAAAAATTAAAAATCATAGTTACGTAGCCCGTGGAAATTCAAACTTTTTGAATAGACCTCGTATGATTAAATCGAATAAAAAAATGTTTATCAATTTTTATTTTAAACATTTTTCTAATACACCGATCAACTTGAAATTCCACATGGCTTTCTTTACAGTTAGATTTACTGCTAATATATTGTAACCGGAAGAATGCTCCGTTTTTTATTCCGATAATTCGTTCGACGCGCAATTGTACCGAGATGCGCGCGGTGATATCAAAATATTCAAATTCGTTAATCGGTGAGCAGGAGGGGAGGGACGGGAGTCAGTCAAGCAACTTACTACTAGCAAGAAATGATAACAGTAAAATTATCGTTTGAATTACATGCGAGTTAGTTTATTTTCCTATGCTTTACAAAATACTTCGCCCGCGCGCGACAATAACATGCAGCGCCGGAGCGTTCGCAGCTCTTTGTTCGCAGAGTTAGCACATGCACGCTACCGATTCTTACAGAGTATGAGGGATCAGCAATTAGTTCCGCGCAGTCATATAAAAAGTCACGATACTAAGCTGGCCAGCTTACCTTATTATCGGTCGCCCTATTAGAAGGGGGGAGAATCAAGTTCGTATGTCCGCCTCCGGGATATCAGTCTTTTTGAATGAGGTGACTCGCACTCTCGGTTTCGCTCTCGATGGCGAAACTTTGCACCCCCAACACACTCCGACACACTCGTAACAGCAGCGACGAAAGTACAACTATCGATTGACGTCTGGATAATTTAGCTGGCTCGCTTCAGCACTCGGAAAACTCGGGAAAACTCCAATTGTTATTAACTGCAGCTGGATGCTCGGATTGCTAGTCCTCGACTGGTTCTTTCATATTCGCGCGTGTTCCGTCCCGTCTCATACCGAGTTTCCTTTTTCTGTTTTCCCAACCAGTAGGTTCTGCCCTCGCAGGTAGCCGCGTGATTGAGACGGTAGCGCTAACAAGACGTTTACCGTCACAATATCAATCATTATTTACATAATGATTTTTATCTTCATCAACCTAGAAACTTTTGAGACAACTCTCATAGAACATTTGACAAACCGACTGGTGGTTGGCTTACACTACTAAAAAATAGGTTCGTTACCTATTTAAAAAGTATCCTATAAGACCAGGCATTCTATAAGTGTCTATATTCATTTGTCATGGTGAATATATCCATATACCGATTAATTTGGTAAGGAAATAGATTTTTTATTAGCGTGCATACCCAGTAAATATGGAAATATTTGCTCTCCAGGGCGCAATATTGTCTATCGCGCGCCGTTCTTGCATGCGCACTGCCGCTAGCTCCTTTGCGATCCCTATTTAAATGCAAGTACGTATAAAACATCTTACGTTATTGGATTATTGGGTTATTCTCGTAGTTCACTGAAAGGGTGCGCGAACTCGCAAATTAGCGGGCACTTGTTTGGTGTACAGGTTACAAGTTGACAGAGAGTGAGGTTGTGCGGGGATAAAACAATGATGAATACATGCGGTTGCTGGTAACCTATATGATTTATTCGATGAAGTGGAAATGTCAGGTACGAAAAAAAGGGAACCAATGAACTAGGAGACTACACGCTACAAATTTCAAATCATCGTAGAGAGAGAGATAATGCCGCAACTAAAGCGAACTAATAACGAGAATAACGCGATACATTTTTTGCCTCGGAATTTTGGACGCACACTCTTACAATTATATGCTGGCCAGCTTACTTGATATTTATGACGCTGGTGATTACTCTCTTGATTCTATTTCCTTGACCGTTCGTCTCATGTTTCTTTTCTTCTCTCATCTCTTTTCCACACTCGGTAGTCACCGCGGTGCTTGAACAATTCTCTACCTGCCCCAACCCTCGCTCTCTCTCTCTTGGCTGCGCGCGCAGCTCGACCGGTAATTCATGAGTTGATCGGTATCGCCTAAATTTTCTAACAAATATTAAATAATTTTACTTTATTATACTAATATAAAATGAATATAATAAAATAATTTAAATTATTATTATGCGTTTAAATTTATTTTTATGAGTTGTTCTAAATTGACGTAATTCTCCGATAGTACATAATAGTACTATAAAAATGTAAATGGTTTTGTATTTAACTCTAGGTTACCTGCGAATATATTATGGAACATGGAGCTTGTGTGCCTATCCGGGTTCATACTGTTGTTGTTTCCTTACAACATAGTGAAAAAGTTGCTCTTGAAGAATTGCGTAAAGTCATAATGGAAAAAGTTATAAAAGATGTCATTCCAGCACGATATCTCGATGAAAAAACCATCTTCCACGTCAATCCTTGCGGTCTATTTATAATTGGCGGACCACAGGTAAGATAAATAATAATTATTTTTAACTTACATCGATTATAATCAATTTTTTGATTTGTTGTTGATAAATTCCTATAATTAATTAGGAAATACTACCACAAATATTTCTTTTTCGAAACTATGGAACACAGAGCGTTTCCCCAACATGGCGAGACGCTTTCTTGTCAAATCTACGATGTTAAGAGCGAGTGGAAAGGAAAATGATCAATTGAGTTTTTCGTTTTGCGAACTTAAGTGACGAGTAAAATCAGCATTTTGTTTATTTTTGCTTTGAATTGAGTGCGGAAAATCTGAGTTATATACCGGCATTTCAGTCTCGGAAACACATACGATATCACTCTTCTCTATTTTTTCGTTTCTACTATTAGGTTCAATTAACGGTACTTCGAACATTTATTTATTGTAGTCATAAATTGTGTTTATAATTTACAGTGTGATTTCCTTCTTTAATTTGCACATATTATGTCTTATTTTTTGTTTGATTCGACATTCTTTAGTTTGGCGTTGTTCAGCACATTTCACACATACAGCACTTTTGCAACAATAGTTTTTGTAAGCTCGTATTCTTGGCATTTTTAACATTGAGGAATTTCTCTTTTAAGGTTCGGTGGCTCGAATTTCCTTACCGAATTTGATTTTTAATATTTGGTTTCTTTATAAATTTCCCGACTTTTATAATCACGTTCAATTTCACCTGTGAAAAGCAGCAATGTGATGCGATGGCTTATATTATGAATACTTAATAGCTTATGTCCATGTTCTTCTATGGCTGTTTTTAATTGATTTATATCAATTGATCGGTGAATATTTTTTAATATAACTTTGAAGTCTTTTCTTTCTTTCCGTTGGTAAGTGTAAAATTACGTATATTTTTGTATATTAATTAATTAATATTATTTGTGTATAATTTTATTTTATTACAAAAAAAGTTCGACTATATTTACATAATAATAATATGATAACAAATAATAAGTATTGTAACAGGGTGGGTGCTCCGTCTTTTTATTTATGCGCGCCGTCGCATCGAAGAGCGCGGGATTGTTGAAATGTTCAAACTCGTCAACCAGCGAGCAGGGGGGAGAGGGAGTCAGTCAATCAAACTTCTACCGGCGAGAAATAATAACATCAAAATTACAATCAGTATCACATGCAAGATCGTTTATTTTCCCTTTTCTCTACAATATACTCGACCCACGTGTTTATGTTTACAAAGCGCGCGCGCGTCAATAACATGCAGTGTCGGAGCGTTGGCGGCTCTTTGTTCGTCGAGTTAATATATGCACGCTTCTTACTGAGTACGAGAGGTTAGATATTATCAATCTTACAAGAAATCGCGATACTAAGCTGGCCAGCTTACCTTATCAACGGTCGCACAGTCAACAATAGAGATAGAAAGCACCCGCACAGCGCACGCTAGTCTCGGAAATTGTTTGTCTGCGGGCGAGGTGACTCGCGCTTTTCCGTTTCGCCCTCGATGGTGAAACCCTCCACTCGCGCACGTTCACACACAATCGCTCTCGTCGGACCAAGGCGCAGCTCCTCTCGATGAATCCGTCAACTCGTCTCAGTACTCGTCGAAACTCGGAAAACTTCCTTTTATCGTTCACTGCAGCCAGACACTCGGATTGCTGATCCTCCACTGGTTCATTTATATTCGCGCGCGTTCCGTCCCGTCTCATGCCGAATTCCCTCATTACATTTTCCCCAACCGGTAGGTGCTGCCCTCGCAGGCAGCCGCATGGTTGGGCTGCTAGCGTAATAGGACGTTTACCGTCACAGTATGTATTACTTTATAAAAGTGTCTGAAAATTACTTATTATTTTTATTTATTTATTTATTCATTTCTTTATTAGTAAACTTAACTAAAAATTTATTATTGGAAATTTGTTTGAATCTTTTGATCATAATTAAATATAAAAAAATTAAGAATATGAAAAATAAAAAATAGCTAGCGTGAAAACATGAAAAAAAATTGTTCCAGATCTTAGTTTTCACACTATTTTTGTATTCATTACCAAAAAGAAACATTTTTTGTCTTCAAAGATTTTTTATTTAATGCATAGTAACCGAGATATTCGCTGATGAAAAAAAACGATTGTTTTTATAAAAAAAACTATATCTCTGTATAAAAAAATTCAGAAATAAGTTCTGTCCCTCTTAATTTAAAGAGGGACATTCCAACTTTTAATTTTGCTTGGATTTTTAATGACCCACTGATTTGCGTAGCAAATAAATAAATTTGTACGAGATCTGTCCGGAAAGTATCGGGCCTACGTTTATATCTTCCCACCATAGTGTTCGAGCGAACTCTACCGGACAGAAACGTCAACAGTAAAGCCTCACGAATCTATTAGTTACTTACTGACATCTGCCGTAGGTGTAGTTCATGCGCAGCGTGTCTTTGTTTACAATGCCTTTTTCGCGTTCGTCGGATTTTGATATTGTCAAAAATGACTGAAAAACAAGATCAACGAATTTGCATCAAATTTTGCTTTCAACTCGGAAAAACGAGTTCGGAAACTATTGAAATGATGCAAAAAGCCTTCGGAAGCGAGTGTATGAGCAAAACACGAATAAAAGAGTGGTATAAACGGTTCAAGGATGGTCGCACTTCTGTCGATAGTGATTCTCGTTCCGGCCGACCTTCGACGACAAAAACCGCAGATAATATTGAGCGGGTGCGACTTGCAATCGAACAAGATCAACGTATGACTATGCGAGAACTAGAAGAAGACCTTGGGATACCAAAAACTATCATTTCAGAAATTTCAACCGAAAATTTAAGAATGAAACGCGTGTGTACGAAATTCATTCCAAAATTGCTCACAGCAGAGCAGAAGAACATTCGCTTAGAAATCGCTCTGGACAATCTGGAAATCGTCAATAATGATGATAATGCGCTTAGAAAAGTTATTACAGGTGATGAATCATGGGTTTATGGTTATGATCCTGAAACAAAACAACAATCTTCACAGTGGAAGCATTCTGAATCGCCAAGACCAAAAAAAGCACGTCAAAGTCGGAGCAATGTTAAGTCAATGTTGTTCGTTTTTTTCGATTGTGATGGTGTTGTATATCACGAATATGGACCAACAGGTCAGACAATCAAGAAAGAATACTACATTCAAATTTTGAAACGTTTGCGTGATGAAGTAAGGAGAAAATGGGCGCACTTTTGAGAAAGTGGTAACTGGTTTCTCCATCACGATAATACGCCAGCGCATTCATCCAATCTTGCGCAGCAGTTTTTGAGCAAACACAATATCGCATTGCTTCGACAACCTCCATACAGTCCCGATATAGCCCCTTGTGACTTTTGGCTGTTTCCAAAACTAAAAAAACCACTCAAAGGACACCGATTCGATGATCGGTTGATCAAAACAACGGTTGAAAACAATGCTACGAGTGTACTTAAGGCTATTCCTAAAAGTGAGTTCCAGGACTGTTTTGGAAAGTGGGAACATTGATGGAATCATGTTATTTAATCAAGTGGGGATTACTTTGAAGGATGCTACCCACCAGATGATAAAGAATAACGCTAGCACGAAAATATAAAGGTAGGCCCGATACTTTCCGGACAGACCTCGTACATGGGCAAAAAAAATGAAATTTTTTACGTTCATTTTTTAAGCATAAAAAACTTAATTCTAGTACAAACAATACAAAGCTTTTGCTATTACCTTTAAAATGGCGTTAATTTTTTTTCTATGATTCTTTTTCACTGAGATATAAAACTTTAAAGTTTGGTGAATTTCGCCTCAGGGTGGGTAAAAGTACGAGATATATTCAAAAAGTAAGGTGAATATTTATTTTTATGAAAAAATATTTATTTATTCATCGATATTTATGTCATTTCCTTCAAAGTATCCCCCCTCAGATATAATACTCTTGTACCAACGTTATTTCCAATCCTCGAAGTACTTCTGGTAAGCACTTTCTGGTATAGCCTTGAGTTCTTCCAGCGATTTTTTCTTTATCTCCTCAATTGTTCTAAACCTCCGTCCTTTCATGGGTTTCTTGAGTTTTGGTAACAGGAAAAAGTCGCAGAGGATCATATTCGGTGAATATCGTACCTGAGAAAATATTGTGGTTTTGTTTTTGGCGAAAAATTTCGACACAAGAAATTATGAGTGAGCAGGTGCATTATCATAATTCAAAATCCATGAATTGTTTTCCCACAATTTCGAACGGTTTTTTCGTATTGTTTCTCGCAACCGGCACATAACTTCAAAGTAAAATACTCTTTATTGACTGTACGACCAAGTGGTAAGAACTCTTAATGTACTACGCCACGATAATCAAAGAAAATAGTGAGCAAAACCTTGACTTTTGATCGAACTTGACGTGCTTTTTTCGGTCTTGGCTTTTCTGGAACCTTCCATTGGGACGGTTGTGGTTTAGTTTCGACGTCATAACCTTAAACCCATGATTCGTCACCAGTTATGACTCTTTTGAACATATTATGATCATTATTGACGTCGCTTAACAGCTCTTGAGCGATGCTCCTTCGACGGTCCTTTTGTTCAAAATTAAGCAGATTCGGAACAAATTTTACTGCTACACGTTTTATGCCCAAAACTTCGGAAAAAATTGCACATCGCACTAGCCAACAGAGATGCCGACGTCTTCAGTCACTTCTCTAATAGTAATTCGACGATTTTTTAACACCATATGTTTCACTTCTTCAATACTTTCATCAGTTATTGAGTGCTGGGGCGTCCAGAGCGAGGTTCGTCGTCGGTGTCTTCTCGGCCATCTTGAAAGAGCTTATACCACTTCTAAACTTTTTTTGAAATAAAGTATAATCACCGTATGCCACTGTCAACATTTCCAGTATTTTGGAGCACTTACGAGGGGTGATCAATATGTCTTTACAAAATCCAAGAGATGGCGCTCGTAACGCTGAAATTATGATGTTTTTAGAAAGCAATACTACTAACTAGATATCGTACAAAGTTTCAACTCGATTCATTATGTCGTTTTTTTGTAAGCGTTGGTTG